CTCTGTTTAGAATTCTTTTCCTCCAAATATCCGTCTAGCTGGCTTCCTCATTTCCTTGGGACCTTTGTTCTACTTTTGCTTTAACCGAGAGGTCTGCCTTGACCACCCTACATAAAATAACCTCCTGGTCGGGCGCAGTGGCTCACGCCTGTAATCCCAGCACTTTGGGAGGCTGAGGCGGGCAGATCACCTGAGGTCGGGAGTTCGAGACCAGCCTGACCAACATGGAGAAACCCTGTCTCTACTAAAAATACAAAAAATTAGCTGGGCGTGGTGGCGTATGCCTATAATCCTAGCTACTCGAGAGGCTGATGCAGGAGAATCGCTTGAACCCGGCGGGCAGAGGTTGTGGTGAGTCAAGATCATGCCATTGCATTCCAGCCTGGGCAACAAGAACGAAACTACATCTCAAAAAATAAAATCAAATAAAATAACCTCCCTCCTCCAATCACTATCCTCACTTACTCTAAGGTACTTTTCTTAAAATTTAAAAAAAAAAAAAAAAAGTATAGGCTTGGTGCAGTGGCTCACGCCTGTAATCCCAACACTTTGGGAGGCCGAGGGGGGTGGATCACCTGAGGTCCGGAGTTTGAGATCAGCCTGGCCAAAGTGAAACTCCGTCTGTACTAAAATTACAAAAATTAGCCGGGTGTGGTGGTGGGCGCCTATAATCCCAGCTACTTGGGAGGCTGAGTCAGGAGAATCGCTTGAACCCTGGAGGTGGAGGTTGCAGTGAGCCAAGATCCAGCCACTGCACTCCAGCCTGGGTAAGAGTGAGACTCTGTCTCGAAAAAGAAATATATATATATATAATTTTTATAGATTTAGGGGGTACAACTGCAGATTTCTTACCTATATATATTGCATAGTGAGATACCATCTTATGCCTATAATCCCGGCTATTTGGGAGGCTTAGGCAGGAGAATCGCTTGAACCCGGGAGGTGGAGGTTACAGTGAGCCGAGATCCAGCCACTGTACTCCAGCCTGGGTAAGAGTGAGACTCTGTCTCAAAAAAGATACATATAATTTTTATAGATTTATGGGGTACAACTGCAGATTTTTTACCTGTATATATTGCATAGTGAGATACCATCTTGCGCCAGTCAGAATGGCCATTATTGAAAAGTTAGAAAGCAATAGATGTTGGCGAGGATGTGGGGAAAAGCGAACACTTAGCCACTGTTGGTGGGGATGTGAATTAGTACAAACTTTATGGAAAACAGCATGAGGTACTTTTCTTTCATGGCAATTACTATCATCTGATGCATTTATCTATGTGTTTATTGTCATTAATTCCCAAATTGTTAGCTCCAAGGTGGCAGGGCCTTTATCCGTTTATTGACAGTTGTGGGCCGGGCGCGGTGGCTCAAGCCTGTAATCCCAGCACTTTGGGAGGCCGAGACGGTCGGATCACGAAGTCAGGAGATCGAGACCATCCTGGCTAACATGGTGAAACCCCGTCTCCACTAAAAAATACAAAAAACCAGCCCGGGCGACAGTTGTATTGCCAGCACCTAGAACAGTGCCAGGCACTTGAGAAGCACTTGATAAATATTTGTGAAATGAAAATATAAAACTTGACTTAAGGTTTAATAGTTGAATACTTCCATTCATTTCCCCAGTTCTTCCGCTTACCCTTCACTTATATTCTCATCCTTACCTAGGAGCAAGTAGTGAAGGATTGATTGCCAAGAGCCTCATCGAGAACAAAACTGAAGGAAAGAACAGAAAATGTCAGGATAGTTTATTATAGGAAACATTGTAAAAGGCATATTCCAAATTTGCTAGGCTTTTAAGCATCCAATAATAGGAAAGATTTGAGTTTTCATTTTTCATTTCTTAATAGCTCTCTGAAATCTGAAATGGTCCCTTCAGACCATTAGAAAGTTGATTTTCTAATTATTTTTAAAGTATATATTACATAGAATATAGGAAAGTATGTGAAAAGTTATGGTTTTATATGACTGGAAGTTGGCAAAATGTCAGTGACTGAATTTAATGCATCACATGTCTGAGGGTCCTATTCAGTCATCAATAATGTTTGAACAAATAAACATAATTCAAGCATACTTGAATAAGTAACTCTTAATTCATGAAATATACACATATTATGTTTCTTGGTATTTTCAGATAAGTTACAGGATAGAGCTCCCCTGATAAAAATGTTACCCCGGCCGGGCGCGGTGGCTCACGCCTGTAATCCCAGCACTTTGGGAGGCCGAGGCGGGCGGATCACAAGGTCAGGAGATCGAGACCACGGTGAAACCCCGTCTCTACTAAAAATACAAAAAATTAGCCGGGCGCGGTTGTGGGCGCCTGTAGTCCCAGCTACTCGGGAGGCTGAGGCAGGAGAATGGCATGAACCCGGGAGGCGGAGTTTGCGGTGAGCCGAGATCGCGCCACTGCACTCCAGCCTGGGCGACAGAGCGAGACTCCGTCTCAAAAAAAAAAAAAAAAAAATGTTACCCCAGAGTTTGCCAAATTGAATACTTACTTTATCAGTATAATCTTAGCTTTTATTGTGGTAGGAGTCAAGATACGCATTTTGTGAGCAAAGTCTCAATCTGATCCATTTTAAAAGGAAAGTTTGAATTTTTTCCCAAATATATTTTGCTTTTCTCATTTTATTTATTGCTATTCTTAATTTGCTCCCTTGTCATATCACTTATATTCATGTTTATTAATCAGGATTTTGTGGGGATGGAAGCCCAGTTAAAACTATCTTAGGCAAAGAGTAGCATTTATAATAGGGATGTTAGGTTTCTCAACTAATAACCAAAAACCATGAGCAGGGTGGGATGCATCTGGTTCTTAGGGATGATTTTGATGCTGTCAGAGCACTCTTTCAGTTTAGTTCATTCCTCTCATTGCATGTTGTCAGAAAGCATAATCCCCAGCAACTCTCTAGAGCTCTCAGAAGGATATTGTCTCTCCCTGCTCAGTTTCTGTGTAACCCTGAACCAGTCAAATGAGGTGTGAGGGATTGACTGATTCTAGCTTAGTCAGATACTCAGGAATTCAGAGTCATGTGAGAACATGAGTGTCCTCACTATAGCTGGCTGTGGATAGAGGGGATAGAAAAGGGAGACATTTACAACAGATAACACTTTTGCCTACTACTAAAGTTAGTTTGTATTATCTATGTATAATTAGACTAGAACATGGTGTTCTGCCATCTAATATAAATGTAGTATAACAGTTACCTTGGTTTCGACAGTATTCTACTTAGCTTTGGGCTTTGCCACAGCAGTGAAGTCATACTGATAGTATTACTGAGCTTTATTTTGATAAAGCTTGATTTTAATTGATAGTATTACTGAGCTTTATTTCTAATTATTCAGCTGTACCACTCAGTAAACCTGGAGGAGGAAACAGATTAATCAGAGACAGATTCTTCATTCACGGAAGATAGTGATGGTTGCAGGGAGAGAAGCATATAGCACTGTAAGCAGGAATCCTAATGCCAGAACCCAGTGCTACTACTGAAGGTTCAACTCATTTCTGTATTTGTTTGAGAAATAAAGAAGAGATTAAGAGTGGAGGCACTAGATAGAGGATTAAGGGTACTGCATTTATGTTGGATATACTCCATGACATCTGTGGATTTGTAATACCAAATTCTTTGCTTTTTACCAATGATCTTAGCGGGCAATGAGACAGATTTGCATCTATCAGCAGATAAAGATTATAGCAGGAACAATAGTTCCTATAGTTTCATTGCTACTTTTTTCCTTCAGTCATGATATGACATTCTCTTTCACTAAACCTTCATCCACACACATACACATAATACAAAGAATTCTGCACTTTGGGAGTCCCAGAATTACTTGAGCCCAAGAGTTTGAGACCAGGCTGGGTAACATATTGAGACTTCGTCTCTACAAAAATAAGTGAAGCTAAGCATGGTGGTGCATGCCTGTTTTACTAGCTACTGGGGAGGCTGAGGCAGGAGGATCACTTGAGCCAAGGAGTGCAAAGCTGTGATGACTTAGGATTGCGCCACTGCACTCCAGCCTGGGCGACAGAGTAAGATCCTGTCTCCAAAAAAGAAAGAAAAGCAAACGAATTCTGACCTGTCCTAACCCCAGGATTCTTCCTGTTTCTTAAAAGTGTGCTTTCTGTCCATGAATCCTGATGCTTTAGGAACACTTAGTACATTTGGATCCCCATTGTACGGGGATGGAGTTCTCCATCAGTTTTGGCAGCTGTAACAGGAGCCACATTGACTGAAAGTCTCAATCTCTGGGCACTTCCACTTACAAAGGACTGTGAGTGGCCCTGTCCTGGGATGCCAGCTTGGATGCTGTAGTATTTAGAATGTAGACGTATGTTTGGAGAACATATAATAAAGAAGATTCCTATTTGACTACATATAAGTTTAATAGGGGCAGAAAAGAATGATTAAAGTCAATATTTGGCCCTAGTTGGAAAAAAATAATGTAATGGATTATTTAATTGACATGTATATGCATTGTTCCTCTCTTGTATTTGTGAGGGCATGGGAAGATAACAAAGTCTTGAATAAAGATACATGATTCCACCACCAAAGATAACTACTTTTAGCATATTGACATATATCCTTTTAGTTAATGTTTTAGATAGTTAATGTTTTGTGTATTTTTAACAAAACTGAGAACATATTTTTATATATTATTTAACACACCAGTATTTTTGACAAGGTACTTGATGTAGTAAAAATAATGAGATACATGTTCAAATGTATTCTACTCAATGTAGTAAATACAGTAAGTTAATTATTACAGTAAATATTAGTACCAATAGAAAGAAATATTAGTTGACTAAACAAAGCTATAATGAAGTTTAAAAATCTGGACTTTTTATATTCTTAGATAAATTTTGTTGTTCTTTTTTTATAAATATAACTATATGTTAGAGATTTGAAAGTTGCTCTTGAGGAAATAAATGCTTTTATGCTACTATATTAATTCAATCATAGAGTTAATTGTGTTTTTAAAAGTTATTCTGTTTTCCTTCCCAGATCCAAGTATTTTAGAACATGCTCAAGAGGTGAGCACTTAACAATAGAGGTAAGTAGTCGTTAATTTGATTGGATTAAAAGTGCCTGCAGAAAGGCAGAAGGGGCTTTTGGTTGTAAAGAGGGAAAGATCTGGACCCAAATTTAGAATGAACTGTTTATACTTCAATAGTATTCATGTTAGTGAAGATTGAAAGAGTTGGAGCAGTGGGGAAGGAATGAATAGGAAGAAGTTTGCAGAGGATTATGGTTCTGTTTTTCTAATAGCTTTTCCCCCCACCCTACATAAGTCAGGGAGAAGGTACTCTTCTGTCAGTAATAGTGGCTCACTAGGGCAGTGGGTATAATGAGAGATGGTTGGCCTACCCCAGCAGGGAAAGTCCAGAAACAAAGCAGGAAGTTGAGTTTCAGTAACTCCACAGCAGAATCACCGAGTCACTTTTTCTTTTAATGTAAAATATAATAATGGAAACTACCATTTATTCCTTACCTATTGTATAAACTAGCCACTCCACCATACAAATTAAGAATGTCATCACAACTCTGTTGTAAACCGGTGGTGGTCACCCTGTTTCGTGGATGAAAAATGAGAGGCTTAGACAGGTGGAGAAATTGGGCCATATTACACAACCTGTAAGTGGCAAAACCTAAATTCTAGTCCACACTGCCTGGCTCCAAAGCTTGAACACTACTTCATGACCTTCTGTATTAATAAGGAAACGTGTAAGGCAGGAATAAGATATTTAAAAATCACAAACCAATATAAAAATAAGATAAGGATAATAACTTTAACAGTTTTATTCTCTTTTTAGAGAGATTCCTTAATTTTCTAAACCTTTTGAATTCATTGTTTCCTCTCAATCTTTAAACCAAACAGTATTAACAATAAAACACCTTTTCTTTCAGGTGGTTACTTATCAAGTTATTTATATTTAAAATGCAGACATTTTAGTGATATAATAGTAATGACTTTCATTAGGTCACTGACATAATAGTATTAATCACATTATGATCAAACTGTTTACATTCCTATCTCTAGAAAGACATTGTATTTGGGGATAGTAACTACCATTTAGTAGATTTTCAGTAAATAACTATATGAATGAATAAATGAATAAATATAAACATGTTGGGAAATTCTTATTTGGGTATCTTTTAGTCCCCATTCCTTAAATAATTTTCCTTCTTATGACATTTGTTCTGAAGTCAAGTGAAGTGGAATATTCTGGTAGCATGGACTGAAAATACTTGTATGAAATACTCATTTCAGATGAAACTTTTAGTTCTGATTTATGTAGAAAATTGCTTAATTCTCTTGTTTGATTTTCATTCATAGAAAGTCATAAATTAAAATAGTATATGCTTGCCTTGGCCATTTTGTAGGACTGTTGAATATATCAAATGAAATGATGTATTAAAAAGGCATTTGAATTAAATATCTTACAAATATAAAGATATATTATTTTTAAGTGAAAAAAGTAACATAATTTCTTGTGAGATGTATACCTAAGACAAATATTCCTCCTAACACTTACTTTTTTGTCCTTTCAGTTTGAGAATCTAGTAGAAAGTGATGAAGTAAGTATTTCCATAATAGTACAAAACTTGTATTTTTCTCATTGATCATCTCATTAGTTCTAACAATTATGTTTACAATTTTTATTTTTGTTTTAGAATTTTTATTTTCTAGTTTTTATTTTTACTTTTTAGTTCTTTATTATTTCCTTGTTTTACTAATTTATATTAGAAAATAATTCCAAATACTAAGATACACTATACACACACATAGGTTTAAAGCATTATACAGAAACCCGAGGAACTTCAGAAAGTTTACTTCTAATATTTCTAACCTCTTGATTAGGTAGGTAAAATACTTCACAATCCAGAGTAGACCCATTGTTTTCTTGTTGTTGCTGTTGTTTTCTTTTTAAGAGACAAGATCTCGGTATGTTGCCCAGACTGGACTAAAACTCCTGGGCTTGAGCAGTCCTCCTGCTTCAGCTGAGTAGCTGGGACCATCGGTGTGTACCACTTCACCCAGCTTTGGAGTAGGCCCATTCTTCATAGTTTTCATAGATTCTGATGTCAGATTTTATACATATTTATTCTACAGTTTCTGACTTTAGCTATCATCTCTTTTATCAGTTATTCTTTATGTTAATTTTCTACATTTCATCTCATAAAACTCAACAAGTTTTAAGATGCTTCTCAAATACAGAAGTGTTAAAAATATGAAGGGAGTGCATTTTATAATCAGCAAAATGTGGTGTATATTTCAACATTTGATCTTAGTCAAAAGGCTAAGAAGCATTTCTTATGCATTGGTATAGTTAGAACTTTAGTTTGTATGCTAATTTGCAACTTCACTAAATTAATTGTGTACGTTTCTGCAAATTACTTAACCTCCCTGGGTCTACTTTCTACATCTTGAAAATTGGTTAGTCTAGAAGAACACTGCAAGTTGACACTTTGTCATTTTTGTTTTCTAGGGAAAGAAGAAAATGTGTTAATCTTTTCCTTTAAAAATGTATTATTTAGTCCAGCCTTTCTCGAGTATGTATAGAATACTAGTCTTAGAATGTAAGTTAGCATGTAAAAGGTTCTGAGATAAACTATTGTTAAACTGAATTACTTAAACTTGTTCAACTCAGCTATTCTCAAATTAATGTGGGTAAAAATCCTTTTTTAAAATAATAATACATATTTTTCATCTGATAGGACACATTTTGGAAACTATTTTAGCCGTTTGTTCTCCCAGTAAAATATCATTCCATTTCATAGAACTAACTTCTTTTCCTTTGCAAAGGTCGCTTTTGTTTTCATGTCCTTCTCTTTAAAAGTTTAAGCAAACACTGGACATGATATTTTTAAAGCATCTGACAAGTGTTAAAAGTAAGCGTTCTTTCAGCCTCCATTAGAATTCATCCCAGCTTCATAACACTTTTCAAGAGAACTAGTGATTCCGTGTATTTTCCCAAGATGCTTTTTGTTTGGTTGGCTGAGGATTTTTTTGTTTACTTTTGTTTTTGCTAACCCCTCTTCTCCTCTCTCATTTACTTCATATTTTGTGTTTGGTTTAGTTGAATGTCATCCTGTTTTGTAGTGCTACTTTCTAAACTAATGTGGACCGTTTGGATTTTTATTCCTGCTATTATATTTTAACTTTCAGATATGAATAGTTTAAATGTGTAAGAAGTAGGCATAAACCTGAAAAAATCCTGAAAATAGTTATACTTTGCTTTGGAGGAAAAAACTACAGATAATTTCATAACCTTGTGAAAGAAAACAAAAAGTTGATTCTCATTATTGTAATTATGTTTGATTAAGTTGCTGTAAATGCTAAATTAGTGAATGCTGAAGCATTACTGCAGGGGAAATACAGGGTTAGGTTCCTGCAAGCCTCTGATCACAACGTGTTCATCAACCAATCAGTATATAGCCTCATTCGATGTATGTTTCTGTGTAAGATACCATATTAAACATATATTATTGATTCATTAACTTTGAACTCGCAGCCAGTAGCACAAACTCATGCTTGTATGAAGCTTACCTAACACACATATTTTCCCCATAATGCACATCATAGCTTTCTTGGCCTTTAGGAACACTAGAATACTTAGTATTACTGGAATACTTAGTATTCTACACTTGGAGGCCATTTTAAACAGAAATCACCAGCCAAAAAGCACAAAAATGCAAACAATGTGGCACTAAATAGACTGTAAAAAAGATACTTGTTTATAGCATGAGAGCTGAAACAAGAAAGCAGAGTGTCTGTTGCCCTGTTCTACTTCATCTGGGAATGTGCATTGCTGAGCAACTCAAAATTTTTACTGCTCCATGCCTGTCCTTGAATAACCTAGAAAGCTCAAAGAGTATTGATTTTGTGGTTACAAGTAAATTTTCCAAGTAGGCAAATTTGCAAATACAGAAACTACAAAAAAATGAGGATCAACTGTTAATATAAATGAGAACATAGAGAATATGTTGTCTAATACTATCCTGACTCCAGTTCATTTGGTAGGTAACAAATATTTGTTTAAAAAAATTAAGAAATGTCCAGCAAATGATTTTATGTAATTAAGCTAGATAGTAAACTAAATTTTGCTATGGAGAAGTAGCAAACTTTTAAAACTTTTTGTTTCAAGTATTTTTAATAGTGAAATATATTTAATAGTGAAATGTATTTACTCTGATGAAAATGGGTAAGTTGAAAGTATTTAGACTGAATAAAAATTGTATTGATTACTTTAAATAGAATTTAGCTAATTTATTTTAATTGTTTAATTAATTTTTGTACAGGGGGAGAGCCCAGGAAGCAGTCATAGGTAAGGCTTTGTTAAAAAAAAAAAAAAAAAAAAACTTCTATGCGAACTGTAAGAAAACTCTCTTAAGAAGTCATGCTTTATCATTTGCTTGCTTTGAGACGTTAAACAGTTTACATTTCAGAACTTTTAGTTTTTTCTTTCTATAAGATTGAGACAAATATATCTCAAAAGGACTGTTTTGAATATTAAATAATTTAATGTAAGTGCCTAGATGCTTTCCTGTTGTACCTGTTATATGTTTTTTAGTTTTCTTAAAACCATTAGTATTGATAAGTACATTTCTTTTAAATTTTTTAACTTTATTACCCCTTTCCTTCTTTATGCATTCTAAAACTTGTTCTTCTAAATTTTTTCACATCTTTTAATAGTAACTAAAACCTTGTACTATAATTATTTAAGCAGCTTTTAAATATTTTATTAAAATTGCATGTATTACTTAAGTATCTTTAAGTCAAAAGAGCGTTCTTAATTTCAAGAGAATATTTTCATATACAGTGTTACATTATAAACATATAATCCTTACTTTTTTTAGTTTAGCAAACATTTATTAAGCAACTGTCATGTGCCAAGCACCGTGCTAGACACTGGGATTTTAAAAATCAGACATAGTCTCTCCATTAGAAGAAAGAACATCCTGTTCTGGGAGATAGATTCTCGAGATGACTAATTTCAATATGAGGTAGGGAAAGCAATTAAATAGTGATTATAGAACATTCTAGGGAACCGTAGAGAAGAGGCTGTTGGTACAAAACAGCTTCTTGACTGGAGAGATAAATCCAAGAAGACATTTTTAAGGGGATAACACCTGGTGTTGATTGTTGAAGGGTTGGTTAGTGCTAAGTATCCAGGCAGAGCAGGAGGACATTCCAGACAGAAGAAATTGCATAAGCAAAGTGAGAGAACTGATTGTAAAGGGGCACAAGAAAAGTATGTGAAGTGATGGAAATGTCACATATCTTGCTTCCAGTGGAAGTTACATGAGTGTATACAAGTATTAAAACTTTATGAACTGAACACTTAAAATCTGTATTTCATTTTATTTCAGTTATATTTCAAAGAAAAAATTTTAAAGCCCTAATATATAACTAGGGCTAGCAGAAGTTAGAGCTGGAGGGATGGAAGTAGGAGATGATACCTATAAATGGCTAGTTAACCATGATAGTTACCAAGATCACCTAACTGAGGTGGGGGTCTGGGGAGAGGTGGAGCATGGTGAGAGAGCAGTGATCTGAGGATTGACTAGGCAGACACTAGAAGAGGATTCTGAAGATGACCAGGAAGTAGTAGGCAAAAAGAAGAATCAGGAGAGCTTGGGAAGCCAAGGGAGGGGAGACAGACAGATGGGAATGGTTAACACTGTCCCATGAAACTGAGGTAGTAAGATAAGGACTTAAAATTGTCTACTGTATTTGGCAACATAGAATCCATTGATTACCTTTGCTAGAGTTATTGGAGTGATGGGAGCAGAGGTAGACTGCAGCGAGTTGACAAGTGAATGGGAGGTAAGGACATGAAGGCAAGAGAGGAACAGTAGTTGTAGTAAGAACAAGAGCTACACTACCTGGGGTTCAGATTCTAGCTTTGCCACATACTATAGGACTTACTTAGCCATACTCTTCATCTGTCTTCCTCTCACTTCCCTCATATGTATAATCCTTATAGCTACCTTGGAGGGTTGTTGTGAAGATTACAATTTGTTAATATATGTGAAACATTTAAAAGAGAGCCAGGCACATAGTAAGTGCTAGATGTGCTGACTATTGATATACATTTAATTTCAGGACTTGGCTGAAAGAAAGAGGGAGCAGTAGCTTGAGATAGATACAGGTCAAATGGAGGTTTTTTTCTTAGTTCCTCCCTCCCTCCCCCCTCCCTCCTTCATTTCCTCCTTTCCTTCCTTCCCATGGAAGAGAGGTGCAAACAGACAAAAGGAATAGGTTAAAGGTGAAAGAGAGGTACTAATTGATAGAACAAGGTCCCAGATAATTCTCTGGAGTGGGTCAGGAGAGATGGGCTCAATGGTGAATGAATCAAGAATGTAAATGTAGTAGGTGATTCTGAACAAGTTAAGAACATTCCTCTTTAGAGGATGGTGAGGAGAATAGGAAGGATATATGTAAGTAAGTGGGGGTTGTCACAAAGTTGGGGTGATTCATGGTTGATACTCCTCATTTCTTAAAGTGGAGTGAAATTGCCTTTTAGGAGAAAAAAAGTATGAATAAGGAACTTGAGTATGTGAAGATTTTTAATTTGGTAGTATAGGATATGTGAAGGAGTTGCCACATGTATGTAAAAGGACTACTGCTGAGGGCCGAGTGCCAAATTGATGTCAGTTTTCTCTAGCAGCCTGAAACAGAAAGGGCTGATCATGGAAATGACCCAGGGTCAGAATGTGAGTAAACTGAGTGAATATGGAATAACGATAGGAGTGCAAGAAGGTGAGTATGTTGGTAAGAAAGTAGTTCAGATCTGCCTTGGTGTCCACCTTGGTTGTAAGTAAAGCAAGGCCAGAAGATGATTGGGATAGACAGACTGGAAGAAAAGGGAAGGATGAAGGGCCTGGGGAAGCCAGAGGGATTTAGGAGGATTAAGAAGAGTTCCAGAATGGTATGAGGGCTGAGATCAGGGTGTAATAGTATACCAACGTTTATATTTTATGATGAGCATTTTGGGATATGGTTTAGGGTATATACCCATAGGTCAGATGGCTGAAGCAGAGCCAGATGAAGGTAAATAAAATCCGTATTTCTTAAAAGGTGGCTGTAATGCTTTAAAAACTATTCTGATATTGTATCAACTTACCAATTTATATACTAGAATAATAGCAAATGTTAGAATGTATACTTTTTACTCTTAACAATTGAAGTTGTAGCAAATTGCTTTAACATTTTTAACAGCAAAATTTGAGAATTTCACTGGCTTTTTGAGTGTTTTATTTGGACTCAGACTCATCAGAAGTTTTTGTTTTTTCTTTTTCTCCTCCTCCTTTTTTTCTCTAGGCCTCTTACTGAGGAAGAAATTGTTGACCTAAGAGAAAGGCATTATGATTCCATTGCCGAAAAACAAAAAGATCTTGATAAGAAAATTCAAAAAGAGGTAAATAGTCTTTTAAATTGCTTAAGTACATGTTATCATAAAGGAGAGAGTTGTCATTAGATAATATGTTGTGTAGAGTCATTGAACCTATATTTAGATATATACAGATGAATATGATTTAAAAGTTAAAAAATCATTCCAGCCTATTATAATTTCTTTTGAGTTTGGCTTAATTTATCAGAAATCATATGCTGCCAAAAAATGGAGATAGTACATTCTTTTAAAAACAACTTCTTAATTCACAAAGTAGGAACTCTGGCAAGAATATGCACCTTGGTATTTAAAACCAACTTTTAGAGCAGGCTCAGACCTGTAATCCCAGCACGTTGAGTGGCCGAGGCAGGTGCACTGCTTGAGCCCAAGAAGTGGAGACCAGCCTGAGCAACATGGCGAAGCCCCATCTCTACAAAAAATACAATATTAGCTTGGTATGGGGGTGCACGCCTGTGGTCCCAGCTACTTGGGAGGCTGAGGTGGGAGGATTGCTTGAGCCAGAGAGGTCAAGGCTGCAGTGAGCCAAGATCATGCCATTGCACTCCAGCCTGGGCATCAGAGTGAGACCCTGTCTCAAAAAGGAAACAACAACAAAAAGCAAATTTAAAAAAAATTACCCTGTTTCACAATAAGTGGTTTTTTGAAGAGTTTTTTGTCTTGGTGGGTGTATTCTCAGAGAACTAAGTACTGATAATCATAAGTGTTAAAGTTATTTAATGTGTTTATGGAAATGGCCTATAATTATTGTTTTGTACCCACTAAACTAAATGGAATTATTCACATTCCACTGCACATTTAAAAATTTTCTGTTTAAGACCGGGCATGGTGGCCATAGTTCCAGCACTTTGGGAGACTGAGGTGGACAGATCACTTAAGGCCGGGAATTTGAGACCAGCCTGGGCAGCATGGTGAAAATCCATCTCTAAAAAAAAGTACAAAAATTAGCCGGGCATGGTAGCATGCACCTGTAATCCCAGGTACTAAGGAGGCTGAAGTGGGAAGATTGCTTGAGCCCAGGATCCTCAAGGCTATGGGAGGTCGAAGGGGAGCCACTACACTCCAGCCTGGGTGACAGAGCAAGACCCTGTCTCAGAAAAAAAATTAATACACACACACATACATACACACATATACATATATTTGTCTGTTTAAAGTGGGTATGGTGGCTCACGCCTGTAGTCCCAGCACTTTGGAGGCCAAGATGGGCAGATTACTTGAGTCTAGGAGTTAAAAACCAGCCTGAGCAACTTGGCAAGGCCTCATCTCTGCAAGAAATACAAAAATTCACCTGGGGTGGTGGTGCACACCTGTAGTCCCAGCTACTCTGGAGGCTGAGGTGGGAGAATGGCTTGAGCCCAGGAGGTCAAGGCTGCAGTGTTGGTGCCATGGTACTCCAGCCTGGGTGACAGAATAACACCGTCTCAAAAAGAAAAGTATGTTTAGGACCAATTAGTGATTTCCAAAGCATTAACGTAAGCTGTACAGTAGCTGTTAATAGTCTAAAGAAAAAAATTTGTGTTGAAATTTGATTTTCAAGTTAACTTTAACATGCAATAGATACTACTAAAGCAGTTTGTGTGCTCTTATGAATGGCAAGAACTTACATTTGAAAGTAATTTTTTAATAGTTTGATAGTAATAAAATTAAGGAGACATGTGCATTGATGTTAATTAGATGACAAGACATGAATTTTGTGAAAGCTGAGTTCACTTTGGTCAACAGTGATGTAATTGATCTTAAAGGTACTGGATTTATGAGGGCCAAAACTGTCAAACTAGTGAGGGTGATAGGTGTTGGAATGATTGTTTAAAATGAAGATCACTGCATATTCTAAAGAAATACTTTATGCAGAGTAGATGCTACTGCTTCATGACTCAATTTCTAAAGAATCCTGTAATGTGTTTTATATCCTTTGGGCTATTTTGTAAAAGAAGAAATTTAAACAAACAATTGCAAACATTTCAATTCTGTTATGCTTTGTAGAGATCAATTATTTTTTAATAATTTATTTTTTGTTTTATAAATAGAAGCATTTTATTTTTAGAGCAGTTAGACAGGTTCTGATTTTTGTTAATCCTTATTGTTTTGTTCATGTACAGTTAGCCTTACAAGAAGAGAAGTTAAGACTAGAAGAAGAAGCTTTATACGCTGCACAGCGTGAAGCAGCCAGGGCAGCAAAGCAGCGAAAGCTCTTGGAGGTGAGGGGAAAAGACCCCAGCATATATTAGGGTTGCTTTTCTCCTTATTTGCTCTAACAAATCTTAGTTGGGACTTTTTTTTTCCTATTCTCAAGGACTTCTTGTTTAAAAATGAATGTAATTACAGCCAACAGACACATGAAAAAATGCTCATCATCACTGGCCATCAGAGAAATGCAAATCAAAACCACAATGAGATACCATCTCACACCAGTTAGAATGGCGATCATTAAAAAGTCAGGAAACAACAGGTGCTGGAGAGGATGTGGAGAAATAGGAACACTTTTACACTGTTGGTGGGATTGTAAACTAGTTCAACCATTATGGAAACAGTATGGCGATTCCTCAAGGATCTAGAACTAGATGTACCATATGACCCAGCCATCCCATTACTGGGTATATACCCAAAGGATTATAAATTATGCTGCTATAAAGACACATGCACACGTATGTTTATTGCAGCACTATTCACAATAGCAAAGACTTGGAATCAACCCAAATGTCCATCAGTGACAGATTGGATTAAGAAAATGTGGCACATATACACCATGGAATACTATGCAGCCATCAAAAAGGATGAGTTTGTGTCCTTTGTAGGGACATGGATGCAGCTGGAAACCATCATTCTTAGCAAACTATCACAAGAACAGAAAACCAAACACCACATGTTCTCACTCATAGGTGGGAACTGAACAATGAGATCACTTGGACTCAGGAAGGGGAACATCACACACCGGGGCCTATCATGGGGAGGGTGGAGGGGGGAGGGATTGCATTGGGAGTTATACCTGATGTAAATGACGAGTTGATGGGTGCAGCACACCAACATGGCACAAGTATACATATGTAACAAACCTGCACGTTATGTACATGTACCCTAATAATAAATAAATTTTAAAAAAAAATAAAATGAAATAAAAAAATAAAAAAAATAAAAATGAATGTATTTACTCATATATTCTTAAGAATTTTCAAGGCAAATTAGTCAGTCTTTAACAGCTAGAAATAATATCAGATTACATGCTTGATACTCAGTGCTATTTAGCTTTAGATTAGCAAATGCTGATTCCTGTTTATCCTAAAGATGAATTTTAGTGCTATAAAACTCAGTATTCTTTTGGAAAAATTAAATATACTCTTAGAGGGAAAGTGTTGCCAAACTAGCCTTTAAATATAATTGGCAAAGCATTTTGTTTTGTGAGGGTTTTTTTTTTTAACAGTTTCTTAAATTACCAGAATTTATTTTATTCCCTGGAACTGGATAAACTGTGCTGTTTTGCCCCATAAGGTTATTATTTGCTTGTCATCTTTATTCTTGGGAGATTGGGAGTTTGGGTCTTGAGAAATAACTTGGTATATTATCAGGGAAGGCAGCAGATTTACCGTATCTTACCATGCTGCATTACCATAATGTCTGGCAACTATAAGTAACATTTATGGAACCCTAACTGTCAGGAGGAGCAATGTTTTACCTTATTTAATCCTCACAACAGTCTTACGAGATAGTATTTTTAATCCCTGTTTTACAAATGAGAAAACTGAGAGTAGGATATGTTTTGTAACTTGCTTGAGATCCTACAGTTAATAAGGGCCAGAGCCAAAGTTCAAGCACAACAGTGCTTAGCCGGTATCCTTAATATCTTCCTCCATATTTTGCCTGTTTGGATTCACCTCTGTAGTGTTAATTGAAGTAGTATAAAGATCATGGCACATTGTAAAACTTAGAGAAACTGAAATATCATGTGTATCCTATTGTTACATGATTTCTGTGTGAACTGTGTCCTCCCCCTCTCCTTCCCCTCATTTTTTTTCTCTCTCTCTGCTGTTTTAGCAGATTATATGAAGGAATATCTTTGCTTTTTAAGTCAGTTCTAAATAATGAACAAGTTTTTAACTTTTACCTTCTACTAAGAAAAGTATTTTTCTGGTTATCATATAGACACTCTTTTTACTGTAATAGATGATCTACTGCTTCCCTTTTAAAGACAAAGCATTCCATATACAGCATCCATATGGGTGATTTCCAGGGTTCTCTGAGTTTTTCCTACCCTGGTTTAAATATTTGATATAGGAACACATTACAGTCTATACAGTACATACTGACACACAGACATACACAGACACCCACCAGTCATTTGATTTTCATAGTAACCCTGAGCTTGCTAGAGCAGTAATATAGCTATCTGTATTTTATAGATGAAGGAACAGTAGGTAAAGGCCATGCCAGGGATACATAGCTAATAGCCATCAGAGCGACAACTCTGACATTTCTTCTAAATCTTAGTCAATTGCTTTTATTATTTCTGAGTCAACTCAGCCAGATCTTATAAATCTGTTGTTTTATTGCTACTTATTTCACCCAGAATAGAACTTCATGTATTGTTTTAACTATTCCTTTTCTGCTCCTCATTTTTCCAGTAGGTTGAAAGTTCTTGGGTATACTAAGAATGTTAAGAATATCAATACATATCTGTTAAAATAAGGAAAAATATGTCAACAGAATAACTTTTTTTTTTTTTTAGAGACTAGAAAAAAATACTTTTTGGTATTGCATGAGTGGTTTTAAAATACATAATTTTACAACAGAGTGATTTTTTTTTATTACATTATGTTTCCAAAGCAAGAAAGGCAGAGAATTGTGCAGCAATATCATCCTTCCAACAATGGAGAATATCAAAGGTAAATAATGAAACATATGCCTCCTTCCCTTTGTGGTAGAACATTTTATTGCTACGTAGAGCATTGTTCACCTCGAGATGTGTATATACGTATTCATGTTTATGTGTTCCCTAAAAATTATTCCATCTAAAAGACATTGCCTTGGAAGAATACTGAGAGCATTTAAGTTGAAACATGATTATTATTCATTTAAACTGACTTTGTTGCATTTTTAAGAGTGGTCTCATTTCCCATATAGATGTAATACCATAGCTGAATGTCTTTGGGTGAGTTATTTATACCTTAGTTGTTTGTGTTTTCTTTAGTCCCTCTCTTTCTTACAATAAAGTTTATGTGTGGTCATTTTTTGGAAGAGAGATTTCAGCGTCACATTTCCACAAGTATCACTACTTGTTCAAAGAATTTTGTTCATGCTTCATTATTGTAAAGTTAGACTTATGGCTAAGCTTTGGAGATTGGATTTCAGGATTAACCAAAATCTTCTTATTTTCAGTTTCATGCTAGTATTAAGAAAATTAAGAACTCTTTTCATTAGGTTATTCTAATTGTGTAGCAGTTATGAATTTGTATGACATAGGTCTTCAAGCCAAAATGCCATCATTAGCTTAAATATTTGTTATATTGCATCTACCATGAATATATTAAAAAATTATTTCATTTTTATTACAGTTCAGGACCAGAAGATGACTTTGAATCTTGTTTGAGAAATATAAAGTCACAGTATGAAGTTTTTCGAAGTAGTAGTAAGTTTTTTAAAGTATTTTCTGTACTTTTTTTTATGCCACAGTAAACAGATAAGTAGAGATTCTGGCTGTGTTTCTGTAGAATAACTTTCTGTTCTTAAATTTGTAATTCCCAGATAAGTCAGTTTCCTAGGTAGTCATTAATTATACAACCTCATCTTTTCTTTTTAAAAAGAAGTTGGAACAAAGAAAAATCTCAGACTGTTTCTGTAGATCCATATAGGGAGTCAAGCACTCCTTTTGCCATTTCTACCGTGATCCTAACCCTTCCCTTTCCAAAATAAAAGAAAGGAAAGATGGGAGGAAGTAATAGAAAAGTGTACTTGTTTTTTACTTATTACAAATTGACTTATAAGATTAAAATATTTCCTCAAGTTTCAAAAGCAAAACCTCATATGCTTCCCAATAGTGGAAGCATAGTATAGTAGTGGGTCTTTTTGAAAATATAGGTTGCTTTTTGTTTTATCTTTCTTGTTCATCATTTTTTCGTGCCCCTTTGTAATTGACTGTTAAAAATATTATCTAGAGTTCACCATATTTGAAAAGTTTATAATCACTTAAATTTGCATGTTTGCTATGCTTAGATGGCAAAAAAAAAGAGAGAAAAGTTTCTTTATACTGTTCCTAACAGAAACTTACCAATAAAATGATTTCCAGAATTATTTCTTATGAAGCTAAAAGTAATAATAATAATATTTAGAGAGAGATAATTGTTACAAAATAAAATGGCTGTTGTGGTAGAAGAGTAGATGAGAGTATTCAGTTGTATTTCGTGTATACTCTAGGACTCTCATCAGATGCTACAGTTTTGACACCAAATACAGAAAGCAGTTGTGATTTAATGACCAAAACTAAATCAACTAGTGGAAATGACGACAGCACATCCTTAGATCTAGAGTGGGAAGATGAAGAAGGTATTTTATAATTCACAATTTTACCTGAAAAATTTAACGTAATCTGTGTTGATTTATATAAATCTACCTTGGTCTTTATTTAAATGGAAATAAATTCAAGCCCTTGAAAAATCATATAAACACTTTTTAGACTGTTATTGGTGATTATCACTGTTGATAAAAATGTTTAGAAAATTCCTTAATTTTTAATGTTCCTTTAGATTTAGAAAATAAATGTTAATTTCTTTAAGGTTTTGTAATCCAAGCCCATGACATTACTCCGTACGAATGATTACTACCCCCTTGTGGACATTCTAAAGCCAGAAGTTAAATATAACTTCTCTTAGAAATAAATCCACAGAAACAAATTCACCAGATACAAATCTACAAAATTATATTAGTATCTAGCTCATATTTTTATCATATCTATAGAAATAACTTGTGTTACTGGGTTGAGTCCTGGTGATTTTTCAGGAGTGACAGACAACGGTGATACAGATTTAAATGTTCTTTTATGGTGGGATCTGATCTTTAAGGTCAAAAAAGAAAATCATTAAATGTGTCTAGGAATATTACAATCTCTTTGCGAATCCTAGATTTTAATTCAATTACCAACGTTGATTCTGTACTTACAGATTCAAACTTCTTTTCTGTCCTCTCTCCCTTCCTTCTGCCAGTAAAATGCCATTCTTTTTTTCTTTCAAGATTATTGACACTTTCACTTTACCAATTTCATTTTGTTTCGAATTAGATCTAGAACAGTTTCCCATAGAAACGTCTCTCCTCTGTTTGGTAGAGTCGGAAGAGCATAAGACCACAGACTTTGGAGCCAGACTGAATGGATTAAAATTCTTGCTTCACCACTTTTTAGCTGTGTGACATTACCCAAATCACTTAGCCTTTCTGTCCCGGTTAGCTGAACTACAGAATGAGAATAATGATAGTACTGTGCTCCATAGAGTTGTTGGGGATTAAATCAGTTAATATCTGTGACATGTATATAACATTAACTGGAACCTAGTAAATGCTGGAAAAGTACATGTTATCATTAGAGTGACTGTCATTCTCTGGGATATGAAATTATGTGGGTAGGAAAGGACTTTGGCAGACATACTAACTTGGCCATATAAGACTAACAGCAATTGAAGTCCTCCATCCATTCTGTTTTATTTGTGACTCTTCAGGAATTTCATCCTATCAGATAATAAATGATACATCAAAACTGCCCTTTGGTGACTGTTAATATTTATTTTTATCTGAGGCATACTTCAGGGTTAGACCCCAACAATTTCCCTTAAGAAGACCTCCATGGGACTGGGTCTTTAATTCACACATCAAGTCTGATAGTTAAATAAAAACTATATTGCTAAACTTGGAAGTTTTTAAATATAGCTTTATTATCTGTTCTGAGATTTCTAAAAACTCTGTTCAAATCATAGGAATGAATAGAATGCTTCCAGTGAGAGAACGTTCCAAAACAGAGGAAGACATTCTACGGGCAGCACTTAAGTATAGCAACAAGAAGACTGGAAGTAATCCTACATCAGCCTCTGATGATTCCAATGGGCTGGAGTGGGAGAATGATTTTGTTAGTGCCGAAATGGATGATAATGGAAATTCCGAGTATTCTGGATTTGTAAATCCTGTATTAGAACTGTCTGATTCTGGCATAAGGCATTCTGACACAGATCAACAGACTCGATAGGGTAAATTGTGTGACCTTGTTTATCAGTTATGACCAAATGTTAAAAGCCAACTAGAATGTATAAGTGATTGTGCTGAGCCTTTCTGTAAGGGAGATGTGTAAGAAACCATGTTGTAAATGTTTATTTTATTAGAAAGGAGTAGGGATGATAGGATCTGAATTGATACAGAATTAAGTGCAATTTCATCATCTGCCTTCTGCTTTTCAAGACCAATTTAATGGTCCTGTCATGTTACCAATTAAATTTACTTTAAGTCTTTTCTTTATAGCATTTCTGTTTACTATGGTAGATTTCCACTCTCCATTTTTTTAATTAATTTTCCTTTGAATGATTTATGAAGCCTATTCATTGTCTTTAACTATGAAAACATTAAGACTTTTTTTGTTAATTCTCAGCAGATGTGAAGGAAGCATAAGGAGGGATTGTCAGATTCAGATTTAGAATAGTGTTCCCTTTTCCAGCATTATTTCTATGACTTCTTTGGATTTTATTATCTAATAGTCAGTACAGTTGATTTGAGTAGATGACTCTAAGAAATGCAGAAGTATCAGCATTACATGTCCTTATTTACATGTCCTAGTATAATGTTGATTCAATCTGAACAAAAGATAATATAAAAATAACCCTTCAGAGTTTGGACATTTCAAGTTGGTAATAATAAAAAATAATTCTTAATAAGATATATATATATATATATATATATATTTAGTTTTTTCCACTTCATTTTACATGCCACTATATTGACTTTAATTGATATATAGTATTAAGTTTTTAGGTGCCATTATTTTTTAAAAATTCTATATTTCCAATGAATGATCTTAGATTTTACACAGAACATATTCTCTGCATGATTTAAGAAAGGAAGATCTAAAAAGGTAATACGGGTATTTCAAATAAAATCCTTTCTGGTATGAAAGGCTCCATTGATTTTATTAAGCTTTCGTTTACCTTGTAGTACAAGGTGCTTTAATGGGATAGAACTAAGCATATCAATATCTATAACTGCATTTTGTTATAGACAATCAACTGTTCTTTTCTCTAAAATGTATGTGTCAATTTAAAAGGCCAGGAATAGAAAACACTCCATAATTGCTTTCCTTGATTTTGCTGAGGATTTGGTATGATTTTAGTAAGCAAACTGTTTTTTGGTTTTTCCTTAATGTTTTTAAATTTTTTTCCTCTTGCAACAATGACAGTGCATGTTCTTATAAATATAGGAAGGTCCAGATATAAATAGTAACCTGAAGTTCTTGCTGTACTTAAAAAAAAATCATGTGGCCCTTTCAATATTTGAACTGCTAAGCAATGACATCTGTAGTTTTATCTCCTTTTTTATGTCATAGAAATTAATATGATACTTTAAATATGTAAATATAATACATTAGGTAATGCCATTATTTATATCTGTCTTAAGTTGTAGCTGTGTCTTGGAAATATTTTTAAGGTAATCTATATTCACATTGCCTGTGTTAATGCTTTTTAAAGTTTGTATACATCAGATGTATATTTTTGGTTTGGCATAAGCTACTATTGTAATTTTTCTTGGCTTTTTGTTCATAAAGAATTTTTTGAAGGAATGGTAACAAATGGTAATTTACAAATGGTTGTGAATAAACACATTTTTACACTTAAAGGTAGTAAGTTATTTGACTATTATTGGTTTTACTCCATAAACATGCAGGCATTCTGATTCCTGACTTGTAATTATTTTATTAAATCTGATGTGAAGACAAAAAGAAGTAAATTAAGAAAGCAAGATGGAACTAAACTTGAAAATGTGTTTTGATTGTTAAAAAAAGTTAACGTTTTGTGTTTATAAAAAGTACTAGAAATAATTTATTCAGCAAATATTGGAATAGTATTAATATTGGAACTGTGTCTGGTGGGTGTTAGGGACATAGAAGTACAAAGACATATAAGGTCTCTGCTCTTTGCTTACCATTCTGGTGAGAGAGATAGACAAGAATAAGTAAACATATATGTAAGAAAATCACAGGTCACAGTTAGAAAATATACAAGATTATAGGAGAGAGAGTAACTGGGGGCCAATTGACTACTTCTCATAGGTCAGGAGAATCCTCTCTGAGGAGATACCTTGGCTAAAACTTAATTGTTTTAAGTTTTAATTGTCAACTTGGCTAAAACCTAATTGTTAAGCAGGAACCAGTCAAGTAAAAAAGCCTGTTGTGAAGCATGTTATCAGCAAAGGGTACAGCAAGTACAGAGTACCTGAGGTGAAAAAGAGTTTGTTATGTTCTGTGAATAAAAAGACCACTGGGAATGAAGCATCACGAGTGAGGGAGAAGAGTGGTATGAGATGATACTGGAGTGATAGTTAAGGGCTAGATGATGCAAGACCTTGTAGGCCAAGAATGAGTTTTATTTGATGTATAATAGAAAGCTGCTGACATTTTTTGTAAGCAAGGATGTACAGTCATATACACATTTTCAAAAGATTGCTTTAGTTGCTGTGTAGAGAATGGATTGTAAGAAGGCAAGAGTGGATGTATAGTATTCCCAGTGGAATATAGTGTGCCTTGGGTTTACAATGGCTTTGAAAAGGCAGAGCAGATTTTAGAGGTAGAATCATCAGGATTTTCTGGTGGGTTGGATATAAGACTAAAGAAAGGGGTAGAATCAGATACTACTGTAGGGTAACACATCTGGCACGGTGCCGTGGCTACCTTGCTCACTCCACATAGTCCACGTAGGCAGAACTCAACCACAGTCTGACACAGGTCTTGGTAGAAAAAGGTCGTGATCCTCCATGGCAAGATAGGCCATCATAAAGGAGCTGTCAAAGGGCCATTTATCTTGCAAAATACCTCCCTATCTTGCAAAAGGCTGCCATGAGGCAATTTCTCATCCAACTGGTTTCCAGTGACCTCACTCTCATTCAGGTACAGATACCGACTATAAAAATGTTTAGCTATAGCTCAGAGTTGGCTCCTCAACAACAGAGTTATTTCTACTTGTCATCTGTCATCTTGTCCCCTTGGTTCAGTGTCATCCAGGAACGTCCCTAAGGACCAGGCATACAGGGAGCTGACTCCATGCTGATGCTGGTTTTGCTGTCTGTGTAAATAATAAACTGTCTCAATCTATTTGGACTCATTGTCTCCCTACTGGTCAAATCTATAGATGTCTGACAGCCAGCCTAGCAGCTGCAAGTGCCCTTTACTGTAACTTCTTGGTTCTGATTTGACTTAATAAGTGTAATGGGAGGAACAGGTTTGGGAAGTGGGGAAAATGAAAGAGTTCTATTCGAAAAGTTAACTTTGAGGTGTTTATAAGATATTTGGATGAAGATGTCAAGTTGGTGATGGGATAATGTCTGCAGCCCAAGAAAGAGGTCTAGGTTCAAGTTTGGGAGTCAGTAGGAAAATGGTATTTTAAGTCATTAAACCAGCTGAGTTTACCCCAGGGGAGCACATAGAGAAGCCCAACTAAGTGTTGACATTTAGAAGTTGGGGGTAGTGAAACAGCCAAAAGAAACAGATACAGGAGAAATGCAGGAACCAGAGAATAGTGTCACAGGAGCCAGGAAATCAGAGGGCTCAACAATAGCAAATGCTTTGAAAAGAGGTCCGCTGCTTTAGTTGCATTTGGGGACAGTTACACAAATGAAGGGATGGAAACTGGGGAGTTGGGGATGAGGAATAAAGAACAGCTAATGCAGACAACTTGAAAAGAGCAGAGAAATGGGGTAGCTGGAAGGGGATGTGGAGTTATAGAAGGGTTTTTATTTAAGATACTAGTTTTAGAGTAGGTAGATAGGCAGATATGAACAGGGCAGGACAGGGCCACAAAGAATGTCAGGGCTGGTGACAGGGAGGGGAAAATCTAATGGGAGACATCTTGAGCTCATGGGCAACAACTTCCCAATAAGAATTTAAGATGACAGAGTTTGGCCTTCCTCTGGGGGCATGTCCAGGCATGTGCAGTAAGGGGCAAAATGACAGAGTTTGACGAATATATGACCTTCCCACGGGGCTTGGCAGGGGGACGCTAGCCCAGTAAGGGAAAATTGCCCTAAGAGAGCATGTGCATAACTTCAACCACCAAAAGGCCCTCCCAGATACTGGCAAACCACTGCACATACAGGGAGGGGAAGAGACAGGGAGAGAAAATAGGAAATCATAAACCTCTAAGAGCCTTAAGACGAAGGTCAGGCTGGGTACTCAATTTTTCACATCCCCCTTGGTTCCATCCAAGTGTACTTTTTTTGGCTTCAATAAACTCTTGTTTCTGCCTTAAATATACTTCTGTCTCTTGGCTGAATTCTTTCTCCCAAGAAGACAAATATCAAGGACTATGGAGCCTGCCCATACTCACCACTGGTAACACTAGAACTTTTGAAATGATGTATTTTGGGATTATGCCTGCTTTTTTTTTTCAATAGAGAAATATATTTTTCTAGCAGAGGCCAGAGGTTTCATTTAACTATGTAAACATGTCCTAATCATAATTTCTTGAGAATACAGACATCTAAAAAAGATTTTTTTATTAAATATATAGTGTTTTCCCATCTTCATTTATTTGGTATTTCTGGTTAATTATCTGACAGTAAAGGAGTTTACAAAAGAAATCTGAGATTCCACATTGAAATCCTAAATGTAAAACAACAACAATAACAACAAAAAGGAGAGAAACAGAATCCCTGCATCTGATTCTTGAATCCTTACGAAATATTAAAGGTGAAAATGAAATTAAATTTGAAAAATATTAAAATAAATTGTATGAGTATTATTATTTCAAATTTAAAGATTTTTTTTCCTCCTACCCAGATAATGTCCTCTGTAGTTCAGAAATCTTACATGAGACCATTAAAAATGAGGGCCTAACTCTGCCCCATGCTACTCAGAGGAAACTGTGTGTAACGCTGTGGTAAGGAGACTACATACTGTATCTCAGTTGATATTCACAGGAAGCACTACTTAATCCTTGTTTTTCAAAAGAGGAATCTGAGTTATGTCAAATTACAGGAATGGTCGATAAACCCAAGCAGTATGACTCAGAGCCCACACTCAACACTGTACAATTCTTTCTGGTAGAAATTAGGTCAGTATTGTTTTGAGAGTTTTGGGGGCTTCAGGGGATTTTTTTGCTTAGCTATTAAAAAGAATGTGTCTAACCTGGGTGGGGGCGGTGGCTCATGCCTGTTATCCCAGCATTTGGGAGGCTGAGGTGGGCGGATCACCTGAGGTCGGGAGTTCAAGACCAGCCTGACCAACATGGAGAAACCCCGTCTCTACTAAAAATACAAAATTAGCTGGGCGTGGTGGAGCATGCCTGTAATCCCAGCTCCTCGGGAGGCTGAGGCAGGAGAATTGCTTGAACTCGGGAGGCGGAGGTTGCAGTGAGCCGAGATTGTGCCATTGCACTCCAGCCTGGGCAGCAAGAGTGAAACTCTGACTCAAAAAAAAAAAAAAAAGAATGTGTCTAACCTAACTTTGATTTAAAAACTTTCAAGATGCCGAAAGTGGTATTATTATAAAAAGGCACTCTGAACTAAGGGGAAATTTCATTGTCACACCTTATTGTGACTGTCTAACCTCAGAAGTTTTGTTTTGAAATGTCACTGTTGAGTTAGCTCAATTGATTGTTCATAGTCACAGTTACAGATTGAACTTATTGTTCTACTCTTTTTCCCCCTTCTGACTACTGCACTTGAGTAGTCTGAAAAAAAAAAAGAAGTTACTGTCTTGATTTGGGCCTTTCAAGCAGTTATTTCACTGATGCCACTAAGCAGGGCCAAACTGGTTCATCTCTAGTCCCTTGGTAGCCTTCCATCAGCAACAAAATTATGAAACCAGCAACAAAGCTGAAACTACTGCCATCCCAGTTTCTTCACCAGTGCTCCCAGCCCTAAGTTCATTGCTTAAGAGGTAAAGGACAAATAAGTATTTTCATGCAGGTTGAATAGGTTGGACCTGAGGACAACTCATACCAACTAGAAGCCCATTAAATTCCACCCACACTTTCCATAGGGCTCATCTTGGTCACCACCCGAAATGGAAACTCTGATAGTTTCGATCATGGTCCACCTAGTAAAATAATAACAATACCTGTTATCTTAACATAATAATATAAGGAATTAAACAAGTATTAGAGAATTGGGAACATAAAAAGAGCCAGGAGGTATATGGAACCATCTACCACATATACACACACACAAGGTTAATAATAGTTCTCTTCTGGTAGCAAGATTATGGCTAATTTTTCTACAAGGCATATATATTTATTTACATATATAAAAATGTTTTAATGTAAAAACACATACCTAATCCCACCTCCATTAAAACAAATATTGCTACTCATGTTAGAGTCTAACAGCAATACTTTTTACTTTTAAGTCAGTTACTGCATTAGATAGTAGGAACAGAATTCTCTAGAAAATGGTTATATAACCATATGACATATGAGATTTAACTACTGGAGTTGCAGGTTCAAGAAAAGACTGCCAATGATTCTAACACTGGCACCATTCATACACCTCTTTACCTAAAGAGCCCCAGAAAAATCACTTTCCAGAGACAAAGAAGTCCTTAAGGTGTATTTGGAAGGTTTCACATCTTAGCTGCAGTACCTTGTGTCAAACACTAATAGTTTTGTTTGCCCCACTCCCACCCCGTGACCATTTTTTTGAGAAAAAGTTGTATCTATCCACATGATCACTGACCAGAGCAGCCATTATATAACGTGACTGCATTACCTGAGACAAGCTGATTGGTGAAGGGGTGGGCACCTGACCCAAGCTGACCCTTCCCTGGAAATGAAATCAAGAGATCAGGTCTCTTTGGGGGGATCAATAACGTGTAAACCTCGGGAGCTACAGGTGGCCATGGAGCCAGTACGCATTGAGGGTCAGAGCCAGTGCATTCAATCCCACCTGAGGTCTGCTGCATTCCTTCCTCGGTTCTGCGAAATATGGCAGCTTTCCTCTAACAACCCTGCTTTGGGGTTGGGTAGCTCTGGCAGAGATGCTAACTTTGTAATCAAAACAATTCTAATACTAACCAATTGCTCTTTTATTATAAAGCATTCATTATTATTTACTACTGGAGTTGGGCTATGGAAAGTGTTTCTATTCTTTGGAGAAACAATGATAAATAAACTTTTAGCAACCCACTCTCTCCTTTGCCAATCTTTTAAGAAAAAAAAATAGAAAAAAATTTTAATATTTCTCAAGTTGAACAAAACCCTTTCCAAGATTTACATTAGGAGAAATCATTATTCTGTATGAGCATGAGATTTTTCTGGCCCTAAATATTACTTAACACATTGTTTGGGTTCAATAACAATAATACATGAATCCCTTAATATTAAATTTATAGCTTAGAAACACATTCATCAGCCTCAAAGACAAGAAACAGAGGTGAAAGTCTTCCGAAATAGTCAAAATGTGACAGTATGCACACATTAAAGGATATACACTTCACTCATAGAAAGCCTTTACCATGAGACTACACACTGTAAGCAATTCAAACAAGCTGGGTGATCTGGCTGTAAATCCACATCAGACAGGAAGCTAAAATCCTAGAAGGAATCAATAGTAGGTAACCTTATATTAAGAGGAGTATATTGGTTTTCTATCTGCTGCTATAACAAATTACCGTGATTTCGTGGCTTACAACCAACACAAATTTATCATCATAAAGTTTTGTAGGTTAACAAGTCAAATATATCTCACTGGACCAAAATCCGGGTGTCCACAAGACTTTGTTCCTTTCTGGATCTTTGTCTTTTCCGGCTTCCAGATGTCCAATGCACACTTTCCAGCTTCAAGAGACTGTCCACATTCCTTGGCTCATGACCTCCTTCTTTCCAGCGACAGCAGGTCAAGTCCGTCTCACACCTCATCACTCTGACATCCTGATCTGCCTCTCTTCCACTCTTAAGGATCTGGTGATCAATTGGGCATACCCAGATAATCCAGCATAATCTATTTTAATTCCATCTGCAGCCTTCATTCCCCTTTGCCATGTAACAGCACAGTTACAAGTTCTGGAGACTAGCACATGAACATCTGGACATCTTTGGATGGGCCATTACTCTGGGCATCACAGGGAATAAGGAGGAAAACTAGACACACGAACTCAAACAGTCATTCAGGCCACTTTGTACAGGGACAAATATTTCACTCTACTGGAATGGTCCCCGGGCTGGGGAGTCGGGGTTAGGGTGCTGGACATCACATACTATTGCCCAGGAATAGACTGATGGTCTGAATCAAGATGAGGTTTAAAGCCTCTTTTGGTAAGAGGCTGGAGGGTTCACGAAAGCATTTTTAAAAGGCTGTTACAAAAACATGGACCTCTCACTACAGGAAATTTCACTTATCTGGAAAATTGTACAGCGAGCCTCACTACCTGGCAATGCTACAATTTAACTTAACTGAACGGTTACCTCATCTACTTAACATTCACTAGCTACCTTAGTTAAGTTGAATAAGTATCTTAAATAAAAAAATGGTATTTAAGAACTGAAAAAGACTTTTTTGAAGTTAACACTAGGAATATTTAAGCGTTAATTACAAACATTCACATATATTTATCTATGTAAAGTGGCCCAAGAACAGTTTTTTCCCTTATTTAGAAAAAAATTCAAAGAAAATGATTAATTAAACTTTGACTTTATTATGTACATGGATACTATTAAAAAGGTGAATTCGTGAAATTTTAAAATTGTATATAACATATAAAAGTCAAACTTCTAATTTGGTAAGTAAATAATCCTAAACTTAACACAGTGGTTCTTTAAAATGTTTAAATATTTGTCTTAGATGCTGAATATAGACAAAGAGAACTGTCATCTTAGGAGTAAACACACTATAATTCTGCAAAAAGAAATCATAGAAAAGCAAGGTAGTATTATCAAGTAAGTCCTTCCATACTAAAACCACAGTGACGCACAGACACTAGCCTAGAACATATTCCAGTACTGCAAGTACTGACACGCTGCAAACACCAGTAACAACCTGTCTGGAGCCTTGACCTTAAAAACAAATGGCTGCTGTGAAATGACGTGACCAAACCAAGAGATGGTTCCTTACAAAAACAAAGCAAAACACAAGATGAAAATCAAGCAGAAGAAGAAAATAATATAACCTTATTTTGAGAACACTACTTCATCTCAAAGGATACTTTTTGTATATTAATCCTCACAGATGAGCACTTAAAATAATTTTGTGTAGATACAGGAATACAACAGGTGACTAAGTTAATGACCAACACAATTTACAGACTTCAAAATGATAACACTGAATTTCAAATTTCACAGCATAACAGATGACTATAATATACTACCCTAATAAACTCTTAATAAGTAGTGTCTATACAGCATCTACAGAGCTTTTCATCCTTCATATTTCTCCTCTTAGACTTTCTGTGTTCATGACTCATTTTCATCCATTTCTGTCGGAAAACTGCTTTGGGAGGAGCAGAGCGAATAAATGCCATACTCAGGTATGGGCCTGTGTGGTGGCCAGTTGTTTTCTTCCAAGAGTGATCTTGGAGATAAAATAAATTGAGTCTCAAAAAATTCCAATGACTCGCCATCTTCCTTCTCCATCAGAAACTGATACTCTCCGAATCTGACCATGCACCTGTATGGCAGGTCCATTTTATTTAGGTAGCCCAGCTCTCTACTGTCCACGATCAGATTGGTCTTTTTACTCATATTTTTTATTTCAAAGGAGAGAACTGAGCTGTTGAATTTTTTAAACAGCTGCAGAGAAAACTGAACTCGGGAAACCTGTTTGTCCTGAAAAGTATAACGACAGATGTTGGAATTTCGGCCAAATTTCACCACTTCGCTGGAAGGGAGTTTCTCTCTGTTTAAAAACCTTATTGACTGAAATATTCCACATTGCAACTGGCCAGGATGGTAAACCGTCATCTGGAGACAAGTTACTGTCTCTTCTGTGTCAGCATCTTCAAAACTGCTCATGATGTGCACAAGGCCCACCTGCAATAATTAAATTACCATGTTAGTTTCTGCTTATGCTTAAGGCATTCAGAGCTTTGATTCTAACGTTTTGATGAATATCAACTGATAGGCAATTTATTCGGAGTAAGAAAACGATACATAGACAACACTTTCAGTGAACTAGTAGATATGTGAAATCTTATACCAAGCCCTATAAAATTGCTACACTAGCTTTTCCTATCTTTTTCATTTCTAGTTTGACTATAAGACCACACATAAAATGCAGACAATAACAAAGAATGATTTTTGATAATAAAATGAGTTGAGGGAAGCATAAAGAAACCTCAGTTCCTCTTTCACCTAAATAGAGTCACTTGAGCCCAGAGAAAATATGACAGGTGTACTTTAAAAACAAAATCAGGAAATAAAAAATCCCTTTGGTTTGAATACCTTCAGAGGATATATACATAAAGAAAACTTACAGTTTATTAACTGGATTATAATTAAATATATTATAAATTATGAAACCTGGTTAAATAAACTTAATAGTTATAAACAAATAATTGCAACATTTATCCTTTACATCCTCACTTTGATTTCTAACAGGTAAATGATTAAAAATAGTAAATGCTTTAAATGGTTATTTTATTCTATAATTTCAAATTTCAGACATTACTTTTAAGAATATAAGTCTCCATTAGTTGGTTTTAATTATCACAGCCTACACTGGTATCAGAATTATTTATTTTTGTCAGTGGTACTCAATGACTGGATGGACAAACTGTCATTAACTACAAATAGCACAATCTAACTGTTGTTAACCACATCCCTTGAGAGCCGATGGCCCGAGGTGCCCTCCACCTACACTTCACTTCATATGTCTTTGATAATTAGTACAGTACTTAAAAGCAGTATAACGGGACGGCAGAAATAGCTACTAAAAGTTTTGTGAAGTTACTTCAACACAGAATAGCCATTTTAAAACTAATTTAATTTTTTAAAAGTACATGCACATGATTTTAAAATTCAAACACTAACAACGGATTTAAAAAACAAGTATTTCTCCCCCATCTGAATTCTTTGTCTTTCTCTCCTAGAGTACAACCACTGTAAAAGCTACTTTCTTCCTTAAAGAAATTTTCTTTACACAACCAGCATAACTATGTGTGTACACTCTCACACACAAACACACATACAAGCACATTTCTCCACAGAGAAAAAAGTTTCTTACACAAATAGAAACACGCTATATTTAGTTCTGAACCTTTCTTTGTTCTTCTTCTTTTTTTTTTTTTTTTTTTTTTGAGACAAGTCTCTGTCGCCCAGGCTGGAGTGCAATGGCATGATGTCAGCTCACTGCAAACTCCACCTCCCGGGTTCAAGCAATTCTCCTGCCTCAGCGTCCCGGGTAGCTGGGATTACAGAAATGCACCACCACACCCGGCTAATTTTTGTATTTTTAGTAGAGAGGGAGTTTCGCCATGTTGGCCAAGCTGCTCTCAAACTCCTGAGCTCAGGTGATTCACGATTCACCCACCTCACCCTCCCAAAAGTGCTGGGATTTCAGGCATGAGCCACTGTGCCTGACCGATTTTTCAATTAATAATACATATGGGTGATAATTTTCCCATATCTACACGTACAAATATACCTCATTCTTTAACAGCTGCACAGAATTCTGTAACTGTAGCACGGTGATAAGTTACACTGGTACACAGAGAGATGCTGAGTGCCGCCTGCATTCCTTGGATGACTCTCAGTTGCTGCGGCTACCGGACACTGTCTGCTTATACTGATTTGGGGTTTGGAGATCATCAGTCTTAAGTAAGAACGATTTGTAGTTTTATTGTTTTTTGTTTGCCATCCATATTAGATGTTGGCATCAAAATTATGCTGGTTTGAAATATAAAAAACAAAAATCAGAATACTTTCCTTCCCTTTCTACCTTGCTGGCATTTACTTTTTTTTTTTTTTTTTTTTGGAGATAGCGTCTTGCTGTCACTGGAGTGCAGTGGCGTGATCTTGGCTCACTGCAACCTCTGCCTCCCAGGTTCAAGTAATTCTCCTGCCTCAACCTCCCGAGTAGGTGGGACTACAAGCGTGCGCCACCACTCCCAGCTAATTTTTCATATTTTAGTAGAGATGGGGTTTCACCGTGATGCCCAGGCTGCTCTCGAACTCCTGAGCTTAGGCAATCCAGCCACCTCTGTCTCTCAAAGTGTTAGGATTACAGGCATGAGCCACCATTCTCAGTCCTGCTATTTACTTTTAAAATACAATCTTTCCTTCTGTTTTGCAAAGTTTTGCTGCTGGAAATCAAACTCTCAATTTGTTCAGTTATCCAACAAACGACATAGGTAAGCAATATTTCTTTTCTATTGATTTGAAAATGCATCTTCAATTTTATTTTCATAATATATTTTTGAACATTATTGCATCATATTGCTCTACCCAAGCAGGCCACAGATGTCCAGCTATAAGCAGAAAAACTGAGAAAAATCCTCAAAGTCCTGTGCCGGGGTGGTAAAACTTACTATGAAACCAAAGTCAGCAAGAATTAACACACAATGGGTAGAACTGGTTAATCCATCTTACACTGTGATTTGAAGACACTGTAATTATGATAATAAAGTCTTATTATTCAGGAAGCAGACAGCATAAAAGAATAATTATAAGTCATGGAATGATGCATTAGCAGTCGACAAGAAAAGCATTTGCTATTAAGAAGAGCCTGAAAAGAAGCATCAGAAATCTGTAAGTGATCTCCAGCTTTATTTACAATATGCTGCCATCAATCTAGTTCATTCTTGGACTTCAGGCAATAAGAATTGCAAAAGGAGAACTGGATTAAAAACCATCGTGTATTCTGGATCTAAATAGTCTTTTGGTAATATCCAAATTTTGTTTTTGTATGCTCTACATAAGCTATTACTTTATAATTCAGTCTTCTGAGCAAATCCACCACAAGAAAAGCTTACCCCATATAGGTTCTTATACTCAGTCCCCAGGGCAGATATATTATCCACTGTTAGGGAGAAAAAATGGCATTCTGGTTTATACATCAGTGGCTGTGAGTGTCTTGGTATAGATCAATTCTCTGGATTTGATGAATCTCTGGATTCACAATTGTGACTCCCTCCAACAAACACTGAGGCAGACTGCATTAGTGTCAAATATTTGCCACCCCATCCTTGCAGGCCTATCCCTACCAGTTCTGCCCCTTTAAAATGATGATCCACTTCATTAACAACCATGTCAATGAAACATGAATGGAAGAGAAGCAGAAACTTACTTCTAATCAGAAGCTTAAAAGCCACTGTGTAGTTCCACCTTCCCGCTTTCTTTTGTCAAAACATCAGCAGTTCCCACAAGGAGCAGCTCAGTCTGGGTCCCAGAGGGAAGAGCCAAAGACAGATACATAAAGGACAGGTAATATTAGCAAAAAAATCAACCCTTCTTCCAATAAGCCACTGGAATTTTTGAGATCATTTGTTACTGCACCATATCAGACCCTGAGCTGATGGATGCATTCACCTATCTTATGAAGGTGTAAAACCACAGCAAACCCTGACAATGATATGGTTTGGCTGTGTCCCCACCCCAATCTCATCTTGAATTATAGCTCCCACGATTCCCACATGTTGGGGAAGGTACCTGATGGGAGGTAATTGAATCATGGGGGTGGTCTTTCCCATGCTGTTCTTGTGATAAGTCTCACGAGATCTGATGGTTTCATATGGGGGAGTTGCCCTGCACAAGCCCTCTCTTTGCCTGCTGCTATCCATGTAAGACATGACTTGCTCTTCCTTGCCTTCTGCCATGATTGTGAGGCCTCCCCAGCCATGCGGAACTGTGAGTCCATTAAATCTCTTTCCTGTATAAATTACTCAGTCTCAGGTATGTCTTTATTAGCAGTGTGAGAACAAACTAATACAGACAGGAATAAGGGCTATTACTTATTTCATGCCTTTCATATGCCAGGCAGACTGCTAAGTCCCTGATACACTGTAACCAAGTACATCCATTTTTCTAAGTCATAGTTTAATTTTTTAAATTATTTTCTCTTTTCCCCTTCCCCCTGTGCCCTGCTTCCTACTTAGACCTTCAGAAATGCAAATGTAACCTTTCACTTCTCCTGACCAGACATTCCCTACAGGGCAAGTATATCTAACCATGACAACCTTGACTTTGATCTCTCCTGGATAGTTGGCAATTTGCAGACCAAAGCATGTCCCCACAGAACTCTCACTTCCAGGGGGTGCCCTCTGAACTCATACCTACTAGGAGGGCATGGTGAGAGTGTGCCTGCTTGGCCACTTATATAACTTATATTTCTGCCCAGGAAGGTGCCAACTCAACTATCTGGTAAAACACAAGGGAAGCAGGGGACCCCCTGCTCTGGCTCACGTCCCACCCTACTTTATAAAAGTGCCCACTTTCTGCTCCAAAAGTGAAGCAGCACATTCTGGGTGTGGATAAAGGCAGGACGTTTTGTGCCCCCTTCCCCAAGCTAGCTTAGGAATTCACTTTTTTTGGTACCAGACCACACTCTTGTTAATTGGACTCTGCATGCAGTGGGCCACTAACCTGCTTTTTGGTGACAACAGGTCATCTCATCTTCAAAATAACCCTGTGAATCACTGCTTCACTGATGAGGGAGCTGAATCTCAGAGGGTTTAAAAACTAGCCCAGATCACAAATCCAATGTCAAAGACAGAACTCAAACTCGAATGCATCCTCTCTTAACCATTACAAACACTGCCTGCCCGGTTACCAGTTACTTCACAAACCTTAGCAGTTAACATGTAGAGAAAGGGGACATAAAGGTGTGTGGGCTACAGCCAGCAAGGCACCAAACAAGAATCTAATACTGGGGAGGAAAATAAGCCATTAGTGCTACCTCATAGGAGGAGCAGGCTCTGAAGCACCAGGTTACTGTGAATATCAGTTATCCTTAAGCCTGGGTGTATAATATTAACATGGACCTAGTACTCATCAGTAATTGTGGTGGGTTGTTTAGAGAACATGTTGATCTCTTACCTCAAGGAACTTAGAAACGAATCTATTCGTTTATCTCCAAAGCCACAAGGTCTCTCTACAAAGTGGCCTGAACACTCTGACATTTCAGAGTGGTCAGCAGAAAAACAGGAAAAGACAGAAGCTGACAACTAAAATAATATACTTAAAATTGTTAGATGTTTAAAAACCACGGGTGCACATTTGCTCAAAACAGCATTTTGAAATCTGTTAGTCATGTTATCAAAGAAACAGGGGAACAATGATTTTATATAGTGATAACAATGGTTACCTCTGGAGACAAAAACTGGGGGCCTGAGATAGGAAGGAGACTTACTCTCCACTGCACACTCTATACCTTTGGAATTTTATACCATGTGCACTTCAATATCTATTCAAACACTTAACAAATATTTTCTTTACAACATCACCAACCCTCTGATGTTTATGGAATTGACAGTGGTTGGAGACTAGCAAAGTATCATTAAAGGGGTAAACTGTGATATCTGACATGGAAAAGTTGTAAAACACTGATTAATATCTGACAAACAGTAATATCTGTGTTAACAAAGGAAATACAATAAATATAGAAATAAAAATAAGCACTGCCATTGGAAACTCTGTCTCTGAAAGCTGAATACAGAAGGCATGGATGCTGCATTCTTGAGTGTCCAGCTCTTCTGTGCTGGACAACAGGATGTATATATACACTTACCTGGGAGGCTTAGAGTTGGGAAGAGAAGGGTTAGATCGAGGGCAAGGCTTCTGACTCCTCTTTGGGGAAAGAAGAATGGATACGTGTAGAGGTGTTATGTGCAAAAACAGTACCTCCACCTCTGCTACCCTCCCTGCAACACACACACACATACACACACATACCCACACACACACACACACCCACACAAGGTCCTGCAAAGTCAGTGAAGAGATGTACTACCCTCACCTTGCCGAAGGGTGTTCGGCCTTAAAATGTCATAAACAAAAAGATATATAGAAATATTTTCGCTAAAAGGACCCAGGTGTCTAAGCGGGTTTAACAGAAAGCTTGGCGCCCCTGGGTGGTCATGCATGCCAACAAGATTTCTCAGGCTTTAAGAAGTCTGTTTTTTAAAACAGGGTTGACTATGCTAATGGGGTCTGCTCTGGATGCTGAAAATTTTTACTTTCATTTCCCCCCAGCCCCCTCTCCTCCCCAGTTCCCCCTGAATATATTCTCAAGAAAGAGTATGTCTTTGGGTGTTTGCAAGTAGGAAGTTTCAAGGCTTTTCTCCCTAACGAACAACGAACACTGAGCACATAGGAGGGGAACAGAAACTTGGAAGCCGAGCAAAGGTCCAAGTAATCCTCCTGCCTAACCCTGCTCAACAGGATCACCCTGAAGTGTGGCTCTGAAGATATTTGTGAACTCTGGCACAGCTGTTTGGCAGAATTAATACTAAAGCCACCGGTCTTGCTTGCAAAAACAAAGAATCAAAAAAAAAAAAAAAATGTGAAAACCAAACACAGCAGGAGGAAACCCTTAAGAAAGCTCGGTGTCTTTCAGACATAATATTTTCTTTCTCCCACTCTACTTAATTGGCCTGACCCGGGGTACAGTCCCACTTCCCGGTGGCTGCGGACATCCGCAGTGAGGCTCAGTCTGTGGATTCTGGCTTCAGAGGATTTGGGAAATTCCACCTTTCAATCTGAAATCTGGGGAAAGTCCCAGAAAACAACGGATTACTATATTTATCTCATGAACCAGACTGAAACAAGAACTCAGGATAAGGACCAAGGACCTCGGCACTCCAGGGAGCCCAGGGCCCCTCAGAAAGGTCTCCGACAGCGTGGAGCCGACAGCGTAGGGCCGTGGCAGTTGGCAAGGGGGGCGTCGCGCACAACTGCTCTGGAGCCACACTGCATAAAAGGCATTCGTTTTTGTTTTCTGATTAGAAAAACGTTGCACTAAAGTACACTAAAGTACAGAGAAAAAACACCCCCATCTCCAATGTTTCTTCATTTATGTAAATATTCTCATATTTTATAAAACAGGGAGGTGCGGTCTATAATTTTTGCAGGCTTTCCTTAGCATATGGTGAGCGTGTGCCAGCTGAGCCGGAGCGGCGGGGGATGACTTCCGATCCGAAACCCCGAAAATCTCCTGGACAAAGCTGCTGTCTCTGCGGGATAAACGGAAAAGGGCCAGTCCCCACCTCACCCCTAGCCCGCCGCCCCGCAAGTACCTGGGGCTGGGGAGTGCGTGAACTCTCCTGAGTTGTTCGGCTCGCCCGGCTCAGAGCGAGGGGAATCGAGGAGACTGGGCGCAGGCTCGGGGAGGGCGCCCGGCCGCTGCTCCTCCGCGCGGGCAGGTGTGAGCCCCGGGATGAGGGGAACCGAGCCAGGGACCACGGACCGCGAGCCGCCGATTCTCCTGCGCGCGCGCGGCCTCCCCTCCCACTAGCTGGCAGAGCACGTCCTTTCGCGCGCCCGGGGCCTTTGTAAAGCCCGCAGCGAAGGCGCGGAGGTTTTCAGGCTCCGCCCTCCCCACTGGCGCTCCCGCCCCTTCCTTCCTCCGGAGGTGACCCGGCGGCTGGCGCCTTTCTCCCGAAGCACCCAGCTCCCTGGCCGCTTCTCTGAGTTCCCTGGCAGGGTTTGGTGCGCGGTGCACCGACCCAGACCGCGCCTTCCCAAACGAGTGGCCTCTCCGGAGAGCCCAATTGGCGAGCTAGAGAAAAGAAGGGAACTGGATATTTCAGCATTAAGGGGGACTTTTCCCAAAATGAATGTTGCCCCAGGGCGGGGCAGGCGGGGAGTTGAACTAATCTTTCGGTGACTCCAAGGATACCAAGCAAGCCAGTGCATGGCATGGACGAGCTCCTCTAATCATCGCAGCCCCCCTTACACATGAGTAAACTGAGGCTCAGAGAATGGTGGAGTGTGGCGAGAAGTGGAATTTTTTTTTTTTCTTTTTTTTTTTGAGACGAGTCTCACTCTGTCGCCCATGCTGGAGTGCAGGGGCGTGATCTCGGCTCACTGCAACCTCTGCCTCCCGCAGAGGCGGGATTTGAACTTGCTCCTGGTTGCCCTCGCCTTACACCCAGCAGAGCAGTCCAGTCGCATTCTCTCCTGCCGCTTCCACCAGAACGGACATCCAGAGTCCACAAAAGCTGGTACATGATGAAATGGGAAACACCTCTCACGAGTCCTTTGTAGCTTAGAATAAGGTTTTCTGCCTCAGTGAAAAGGTTTGGAATGACCTAAGTGTGAAGAACCTAAGGGGAGTAGGTGTCAACAGAGGATATTCCCGGGCTCGGTGGCTCACACCTGTAATTCCAGCACGAGGTCAGGAGTTCGAGACCAGTCTGGCCAGCATGATGAAACTCCATCTCTACTAAAAATACAAAAATTAGCCAGGCTTGGTGGTGGGTGCCTGTAATCCCAACTACTTGGGAGGCTGAGGCAGGAGAATGGCTTGAATTGGGGAGGCAGAGGTTGCAGTGAGCCTGAGATGGCGCTGTTGCAGTGAGCCCAAGATGGCGCCACTGCACTCCAGTCTGGGCAACAGAGCGAGACTCTGTTTAAAAAAGAGAGAGAGAGAGAGAGAGGACAGACACTGTAGAGACCAGCGGTCCCTTTTGGGAACTGGTGTCACGGAAGACTTTTTCCACAGACTGGGGTGGGGACCACAGGAGATCATTTCAGGATGATTCAAGCCCATTTCATTTATTGTGCACTTTATTTCTATTATTATTGCATTGCAATATATAATGAGATAATTATACAACTCACCATAATGTAGAATCAGTGGAAGTCCTGAGCTTGTTTTCATGCAAGTAGGCGAACACATTTGGGGGTGATGGGAGACAGTGACAGATCATCAGGCATTAGATTCTCATAAGAAGCCTGCAACCTAGATCCCTCCCATGTGCAGGGTTCCTGCTCCTATAAGAATCTAACGCCCCAGTGATCTGACAAGAAACAGAGCTCAGGCAGTAACACAGGTGATGGTTAACAGCTGTAAATACAGATGAAGCTTCGCTTGCTGGCCCAGAGCTCACCTCCTGCTTTGCCACTGGGTTCCTAACAATCCATAGACCACTGCTGGTCCATGGCACAAAGGTTGGGGGCCCTTGCTGTAGAAGGAGAAAGAAGACTGAGGATAGATAGAGGAAGGAGGACAAAACTTGACCTGGCTGAGATCATAGTGGCCTACTTCTTCTCATGGGAAACCAAATTCTGATGATGGAAATGAGTGGAAGCCCCTTGTCTGTTCTGTCCTTGAGTTCAGGAGAGTTGCTCGTTTGTGGATCTGTTTCACTGGCAATAAAATGACATTGATGTCTGCCTGATGAAGAGGTTCTATGGGTGTGGTTAAGTTTTGAACTGTGTCAGGAGCTAGGTATAATTAAGTACAGTGACTGTGGGGAAAGAAGGGTGCATTTACAAGTGAGGCAGATTCCCGTAAGGGCTGCAATTTTGTTAATCATCAACATTTATTATTTCTTCTCTGGAAGAGACAGTCAGGGTACCTTCTCTCAGCTAGTGAACATGAGAGCAGATGGAAGATAAGACATACTATCTGATTATGTCAGTGAACTCATACAGTAGAACAGTATTATCAGAATTGGAGTTTCCAATCTCTAATTTGAAAACTGACAAAAGGCCCAGAAAATTTCTAAAAGCTTGAATAAAGCCAGAGCCCCAAAGAAATGTGACTATTTATTGCTGTACTTTCAATTTATTAAGTTTTCTGAAAATCACCAGGGGACATTTGCAAAAGAAGCAATTTTAAGTCACTCATATCTAAATTAGGCAAAATAATTTGTAATATGGGCTTTATTATTGCTTCTGTTTGTATAAAACCATTAAAAATGATTATTTTTTAATGAAGAGATTATTTTACAGTTTTACTATAGGTTTTACTTGTTTTATTTTTATTCAAGATCTAAGTTTAAACAAATAGAGCAATGATAGCTCTTCTAGAAAAACATGAACATCATTCTTTGATAATGAAAATGTCTTTACTGTTAAAGAAACACAGTAGGAATTTTAATTATGCAATGAAAGGTACTAGACGTTTCAGGAAGGGGTTTATACAAATATCCTCATCTCAGGCTATTACTTATCTTAAAACAAGCAAATCACTAAAGTGAAAGTACTTCAGCCAAAGTTACATCAGACTGAGGAAATGTAAGGCTTCCAGTATGTGCCACCATTAAATATGCTGATGAGAACATAGCAGCTGGAAATCACCTTTGAGGCCCTCTTGTTGCAGTTTTTCTTTTTGAGAAGAAAAATCAAAAAACAAAAATATTTTTGTTTCAATGTGATTGGGTCATTTTGATAAATTCATTATCTGATTCTGACATAACCTTAAAGTGTGAAACTTTGTCTTGCACACAGAACTGCTCATAGGCTGCCAACATCTTTTAATTTAGACAGATGCAGTTAAACTCTCCTGTGAATTCAACAGGATTTTAAACTTGGTTAACCTCACTTGCTACAACCAAATGCCCTGAGTGGTGTTGGGGTTATAGGAAGTAACATAAATGCTTTCAGGAAAAAATTACAAGAAACCCTTCAGGGAAATGACTCTCCTAAAAGTTGGGCTAGGATTGTATTCAAAATAGAAGAAAACAGTAGGCATGTGTTATTGATACAGAAAGGAGGGATTTACTGTTTTAATTACCAATGACCCATCATTTAATTTGAAAATAACATAAAATGCCCATAATCCATTATATTTCTATCCAGCTTTGAACAATTTGAAATTTCTAAATTGTATTAATGTTTAAAAAAAAAAGTAAAGATGTATCTTGGCTCTCCTATTCAACTGATGGCATGCCATCACTTCCTCTTATCATCGTCCCTCATCCCCATGACATGGGTCAATATAATTTCTAATTAAGTTACTTGGTTGTTTGGAAATACAAAGTTTTTCCGTGGCAAGAATCTTAAGAGTTTTAGATATTTTTGCTACCCCATAATTAAGATGATGTACATAAACGCCTACTGTATGTTATTTAAAATAAAAAATAAAAGCAGCTAATTTGTGGTAATACAATCACACCATGTAAAAAAAAAAAAAAAAAAAAAGAGGTGCATGTTTGTGTTACTTGCTGCTGAATGAATTATATGACCTTGCTTTCTGTCCAAGGCGTTCTAAGCACCTGAGACCCACGCTTGTCTCACTCTCCTGTCCAGCGCTGACGTTCAAATTCTGTGCAGTTCAGCTCAAGTGTGTCTCACCGGCTCATGGTGGATGCTCTCTGCTAACACGTGAAAACATTTAGAATCACCTGAGATAGCTGACCTAAATCGTTTTCCACTAGTTCCTAAATGAGGGACAGGCAGCAGCCCAAATCTCTTCCTCTTCCCTGTTCTTGAAATCAAGTAACCACAATTAAAATGAACAAGTTAAAGCCAAGCCCGGTGGCCCACGCCTGTAATCCCAGCACTTTGGGAGGCCGAGGCAGGCAGACCACTTGAGGCCAGGAGTTTCAGTCCAGTCGGGCCAACCTGGTGAAACTCTGTCTCTACTAAAATGCAAAAATCAGCCATAAGTGGTGGCATGTGCCTGTAGTCCCAGCTACTCGGAAAGCTGAGACATGAGAATTGCTTGAACATGGGAGGTGGAGGTTGCAGTGAGCAGAGATCATGCCACTGCACTCCAGCCTGGGTAACAGAGCGAGGCTCTGTCTGGAAAAACAAAAAAAAAAGAACAAATAAACAAAACGAATAATTTAAATCTATGTGTAAAGGATGCACTACTAAAGAAAACACAGAGTGCAGAACAAAAATGCTAGCATTTGTGGAAAAACATAAATATGTGAGCTATCCAAGGAGATAGAATGGATAATGTTGGTTAATTCTGAGGAGAACATGGCTGACAGAGGACAGAAGGCTGGAGTCAGGCAGAGAGTTCTCACTGTGTCCTTTTTCCAACAGTTTGGCTTTTTGTAATTATCTTCATGTGCTACAGTTACACACACACACAGCTTTTTAAAGAAGAGTCAAGTAAGAGAAATTCCCCAAGAGACAGGTCTCAAGGCTTTAAAGCCTCAATATTTTTCATATGATGAAGGTTTACCACAAAATTCAGGCTCTCAAGAAAACAGCCAGATGGTGAGGAGAAAAGTGGATCCCCTAAAGACAAGGCCCCTGGAGGATGCAGGGAGAGGAATGAGTCAGCCTGTTTGGGCCATCATTTCTGTCCCACCCTGGAGGCAGTTGTGGGAAAGGTGCTGTGGGAGGCAGAATTCCAAAATGGTTCCCTAGGTCTTCATCCCCTGGTACACACAGTCTGTATAATCTCCTCTTGAAAAGAGGCAGAACCTATAAATATGTTGTAATATCACTATCGTGATTAGGTTTATAATCAGTTATCTTTGAGTTAACAAAATGGGAGATGATCCAGCTGGGCTGGGCCTAATCAGGTGAGT